GTTTAGCGGATATTGTCGAACTCGAAATCAAACTCGAGCATTCCACACACTGCACGCAATGTCAATATTAACGTCGGCCATTTCCGTCGAGCCGAGTGAGAAACTCTTCTTTCATAATTAATAAAATTCATTGATTTATCGCTATACGTGTTTATTCAACGCATTAAAAATACCATTTCGTGAATAATTCGACTTATAAATAGATATATTGCGCGTTATTACAATATTATAGTAGTTAATTATTTCGCGAAAAATCAATCAAAATGATTTTAAAAGAATTAAAAATTTTATTTAAACAGTTAAATTCTTTATTCTAAAATGCATTTCAAATGAAATAGTATAGTCTCTCTTCTTCTCTTATTAAAGGAAAAAGGAAATAAAAAGTATAAACGTTAAGTTAAAATTTAATCAATTTTAAAATTAAGTCTTCAATTTTAAGATATAGAATTCAAATATAACAAATTTTAGAAAAAAATTTCAGATAGTATAAAAAATAATTAAGTAAAATATAAAATATAAAAATTCAGCATTTAAAAGAAACAGATAGTGTTAATTTTTAATAATTGTAAAATCAAAACACCAAACTCTGGTACTAATTATATTTAAAGTATCATTCATTTATATTTATCGACTTCTATTATTTAAATACATATTGCATCAAACAATGTACTTGTGCTTTTTATTTTGCACGTGTAAATTTTATAAATAGTCATAATGTTTTTAAAATATGTGTCACCAATTGTATATTTCTTTTGCCTTTTTGCGTCATTTTTGCGCCATAAAGTTTACTTTATATTATTAATAAAAATATTATTAATAAAACAATATATTAATATTATAATTCGCATAATACATAATATACATAATACATAATACATAATACATAATACATAATAATACATAATACATAACATAATATAATTATAATAATATTATTATTAATAAAACAAAAACTATTTTCCATATCATTAAACTTTCATACACAAGAATCTTAATCTATATTATAGCATAGCATTAAAATATTTTTCTTTTACTTCAAAAAAGTTGTTTACAATTTCTCACGGTAAATAGTTAATAATCATTGGCCTTGTCTTGTTCAAAAATAGAGAAATTAGTAGCCATTGATAATTTTGTTGTAACATTTTTATTGCAATATGAGCAAAATATACCGCGTAAAACAACTCTTAACGATTATGTTGCGATTTTAAAGTAATTTTTATTCGTTTCTTTTCCATATGGTGAATAATAAAAAAAATTTATTATTTGGAACGCTGCATTTTTCTGCCAATAAAACATGGTAAACAACAGCTTTGCCTCGAACAGAAAATACAAAATGTATGCCGTAACAAAGATGGTAATTATCATAATTATTACAATAACAATGATGCATTGTTCACTTGTCGAAATCTTTATTCATTACTTTATCAAAGATATTGCTTCAACAAAAGTGAAGTAATTAATTTATAAATATAAAAGTAGCTGATTTGTAAAATAACTTTTGCAAAAAATAATAAAAATAAAATTGATTAAAAAACAATTACACACTACAGACACATTACTGCAAAATAACGTGATAAAATGTTACACATCATGACAGCTTTCAATTTTTTTGCTATTTAGTACGTTTTCTCTTGTCAGTCGCGAAAGATATTCATCATTCCCGTTACAAATCATCCTGTATAAAAATCAGAAATATAAATAAAAAATAAAAGGAACATCTGAGAATGACTGAACAAGTTGCGAACGAACGTGAAATCAATTCCTGTGACGTAGTACGGACATGGCACGTGTCGCCGCCGGTTTGGTACCCCCACGGTGAAAAGTGGACAATGACGGAAAAACGGCAGTATTTTAACCGGAGAGTCGGCCGCCCCGAGGAACGGGTAACGAATGTAAATTGCGACACCGCGTGTCCAAGTCAGCTTATATTTCGTGCCTCTAGCACAATAATTGAAAGAGCTATTTTTTTCGAAAAAGAAAATAACCGTTACGAATATTTAAACAATTATATATCGTGCAAGTGTGCACTTTCAGAACAATCACATCTAAACTTGTTAAATATCTTATTAATTAGTTCTATCTTCATTTCTTATTTTAATTTTTCTAATTTAATTTAATTTTGTTTGCTCTTGTTTACTTAGTTGGAATCATAAGCATCGAAAATATAGAAAATAGCGAATATATGTGATGACGCGCACTTTGGTTTGTCAAGAAAAAAATTGTTCCGATTTTTTACAAAGAATATCAAAGAATTGTTCGTCAGCCAAATTTCACATCATATATCTTGAAGAGCCCAACTTCAGAAAGAGCCCAACTTCAGAAAGAGCCCAACTTCAAAAAGAAAGAGGGGGGAGAGAGAGAAAAAAGAGAGAGAGAGAGAGAGAGAGAGAGAGAGAGAGAGAGAGAGAGAGAGAATAAAAGACTGTTCATATATAAAATATTCGTCTTATAACATATACAATAATTTCGCACAAAGTCCTTTCATCATCAGCGTGCGCAGTTCGAGTGGATCAAAAAAACTTCTCTCTCTTTCTCTATGACAGTCGGAATTGGATCGGAACTTCGTACTTACTACGCGGATGTAAGTTCTTGCAGAGGGCAAAAAGTTGAAACGAAATAGCGAATCAAGAAGTAATCTTCGTTCTCGCCGATCAAAGTCCAGCCTTATTGAAGTCATACAAATAAGTTATTTTATATAATGCAAACAATATTATTTTCTTTAATTTATTTGGATTTCATATAAATTAATCTATCAAAATTCTATTTGTCATATTAATTTACTGAAATCAAATTTGTGATGTTGTGAAATTTCAACGAATCAACGGGAAGACCTTGAAGAAGTGCACGAAACTCGCTCGCTCGTCATTGCGTGCGGTCACTCCTGATTTTCGCGTGATCGTCGCCTTTCGAGTAGCGCGCGCCCTCGAGAAGGAAACGATACCCTCGAAGAGCGATTTCGAGAACAGAAGCGTGCGGTTACGGTAAAATTGCGCGCGAATGCGAACGGGAACACGTGCGCGGCCTCGGTGCTTTCGCGCGAAGGCCGCTCGCCGTTATTACGTGCCCCGCGAACCGATCGATCCTACGCATACGAACCCGAATAGAGGTACCTAAGAAGAGATTTTACCTTTTGTAATTCTTAATTCATAATACATATGTATATTATGTTATATTATACATAATATTATATTCTATTATGTTATATTAATTGCTGCTTTCGGTTTCAGACGTGTGTGGCGTATTTCTTATTATCTCCTTCTATTCGCTGTACATGCATCTGATGATGCGAAAAAGATATTGCGAAATACGGCATCGATTGAAGCGGGAATTGTAAGCGAGCGAGTGGTCATTGAGCTAAATTAGTATAATACGTTGCTAAGGTTGCTGCAATAAAACATCGCTTCTTTTCACAAGATCTCGGATCAAGGTTTTCTTGATCGTTACGCGTCTGCACGTTCGAGTAATTTGAAAGAGTTTTTTTTTTCTTTATTGTAAAATGATTTTTGAAAATCTAAAATACATCCTTTATAAGCGGATATTGCAGAAAATGTCATCTGATTTCTAATGAAATACTAGTGCATTATTCACGATATTACGGTTATATTACATTGGATATGCCTATTTTGTAATCAAATATTGTACACGCAAATATTGTACAAATTATTTTTACAAATATTTGTTAAATTATAACTAACATAACAATATTAATGTATCATATGTCATATTTTCTTATATAATTATAATTAAATTATAAATTTATGAAACAGAAAGACAAATAAATGATGAAAATCACATTTGTCACAAATAAAAATTCTCTCAAAAGATATTACTCTCTGCTACAATTATATAACAAGATTTAATTAAAATTTTTTAATATTTTTTTAACAACTTTAATTTAATTAGCGTACTGTTATGTATTGTAATTTATATTAGCTGCGCAATTATATGAATACGACTCGAATTTAGTTGCTGTCATTTGTAAGTGATAAAAATAAACTCGCAAACTATTTTTTATTGTCAGTCACTGCGCGATCTCCATATTATAATTAATATCATCGACTGCACCCTTCTCGTATTCTCGTTACGTCGCGCATGCAAGCATTTGCACAGCGCAAAGACAATGCATCCCTATGCATATCCGAACTCGAATATCCAGATGCGCGATCTTATATCATCCCAACAATGGAATTGTTCGAAGAAATTGGTGACGAAACGCGGAACAATAGCCACGTTTGTTTTCATTGTATTTCTTTACCTTACATCTTTTCTCTCTCGCATTTTTCAAATTATAATCAAGCATATGTAATAACCAAAATAACCAAAATGATCAAATATTCTTGCGTATATTTAAATTTCTGGTGTTCTATATTTATATATATTTCACATGTCGAAAAGTGTAACAATATTATATTTTTGGCAGAAATAAAATAAACCAATGTATGCCAATAAATAATGAGTATAGCTACAAATTTAATTTTATACAAAATATGAGATATTTTTATTTTTTTAAATTTTATATATTTCATATTATTATATTTTATATTTTGCATTCTCTTTTATATTATATAAATATGTGAGTCCTATAGTCAAAGGTTAAATCAATATATTTTATATTTTTTTAATTTTGCAATAGAGTTTGGAATTTTATATGAAAAATATTTCATACATTTTATTATTTCACATCGTTCTGTTATCTTTATTCTATATAAATATATGAGTGCCAAAGTTAGATTTGTATTTCATATTTGTATTTCTTTTTCCGCACTTTGCAACACAATGAAGGGCGGTACCATACCATAAAGAAGGAGAGAGAAAGAGAAAGATAAAGGGAGAAAGAGAAAGAGAAAGAACGAGAGAGCTCGAGGGGGAGAGAAACACGGCGCCGTAGCGAACGTCGCGACGCTCAGTCTACCGGCGTCGTCCGAACATGTACGATCCGTCAAGGAATTACCAGTTGCCGCCGCCGTTCGAAATCGCCGACGACGACGACGAGAACGAGGACGACGACGGTCTCGCCGCGACCTTGCCCGCGAAAGATCGATCCGACACCATGTTGCGGATTAGAGCGAAACATCAGTGCTCCACGACCGGTTCTACCAATATCGAATAATTATATCAGTGTGTAATTTAGCTTTTTGAAGAACTGTAATTGCTAAATCTGCTATTGCATTGCTTGCAGGAGACTTGAAGAAAATACTCAATTGTCCGAATGTAGATAAAAAGTTAAATTAAAATTGAAAAATTAATACTATAGAATATTTGACGATAAAGTATCAATGATTAAAATATTAGTGATATATCAGTGTTCAATAATAGAAAATTCGGCAATAAAAAATACCAATTCTCTAAACAGATAGCAATAGACGTATTTAATGTTATTTTGCATTGCAATTACGTGATGTATTGCTCTATTTCATTATTTTGATATTAATCAGTAGCAAGAAGTTTTACTCACTCTTAAAATTTAATTCAATCTTTTTAATCATTTGCAAGTCTGAGTTTGGAATGCAGTAACAATGATATTCAGTTAACTGCAAATAGTGATAATTAATGTTAATTAAAAAAATTTGAAATTCATCAATTTCGCGAGTGCAAAAAAGATTGACGAAACTAAATCGCTGAAAGTAAAATATGTCGCTTGTAAAAGTGGCTTTCAATTTAAATTCACAACTTCAAAACAGTGACCGGAAAAGAAAAGACTGTTGTGACTAATTACTTCTCTGTTCGTAAAGCAATAAGGGTATAAAATTGATTCGTAATATTGATAACACTTATCAAGCTCACGGTCAAAACTTTGCGAGGGTGGTCGGAAACGTGGTGAAACTGTAGTGAAAGCGCCTGCGCTCGCTGCGGCGTCCTCTGACGCGACTACTTGGCGTCTAGACGTTAAAATACGTTTTTAATTTTTCCACATATCTAGATTATCTGATAGAGGGAATATTGGTTTTTCGATGAAATCTTTCTCTATCATCGTTTTTTTCCCTTCCAACTGAAGTACCTTTATATTATATTCCAATGCTGAACTTTCATTGAAATTTTCTATAATTACGTCAAAATTTTAATTTACTTTAATATACCTCTCTCACAGACAGTAAAATAAGCTTAATGGGCTCTTGGGAATAAAACTAATATTATACTGTATCATTTTCAGCGATTACCAAAACTCCAAATAAAATAATAGTATGATAATTAACTATAATAATAGTAAGCATTTGAAATTGTGTATGCTAATTTTATACTGACTGTTTGTTTGGTTATACTGATAATTAGTCATTCGACTGACGTATTAATTTTATTCATAACTATTTTATTAATAATTTTCTTGAAATATTGTTTGTATTATCGATAATCGATTATTATTTTGTAATATTTATTCTAGTATTTTTTATATTGTAAAAAAATATTTTTTTATATAAATTTCCTTTAAAATTTATATTTCTTAAATTTTATATTTTTGAATAATAAAATTGGAAAAATATTTTTAAATTTATATTTCTGAAAATGCACAATTTGAAAGCGCAATTCTACGCACATAAAATGCGTTGGCCGCGATTCAATCGTCATTCCTATTTACGTTAGACGAATTGGCACTCAAACTGACAACTTCATCTCGTATTTCACTATTATTAATGTATGTAGGAGCTGAAAGTGTCATTTAATCCGATTGTAAACCGAAAACTACATTCTCGTTATAATTCCTGGGAGATGATTAACTCCATTCTCCAACATTAATTCTATTCTTTGAATTCTCCCGGCAATTATTCAATTACTTGACTTCTTAAAGTCCTCATCAATCTAACAAATGCGGATGCTTGACTTTTTAGACTACTTGACTTTTAAACTGAAACTTTAAACGCGCAGATTCCGTTTTTTATGTAGATGATCTAGTTAAAATAATAAAATCATGCCTATCAAAGTCAGAAAGTTAAAATAAAAATATCGTACACATAATATGTGTATAGGATATATGAAAATAATGAATCTCTTTAAAAAAATCTCTTGCTAAATATAAATTATTCGAATGACATAACATTATATATAGAGCAAATAATAAATTTCGTGAAATAAAAAAATTCGTTGAACACAAACTAAATGTAAAATACAATTTACAAAAATAGAATTCAATACTAGCTACATTAATTATATAGAATTATTAAAACTTGTTGCATTTTTTAATTTTTGTTTATTTGTGATTCATATGCAAAATATTATATTACGTAATGCATTTCCAACGACTTGTTCCGCAGAAATAAACTGTCCGGTGAAAAATGCGCTCAATAGTCAATCTCATCGACAATCGAATCAGCGATGACGCGTGTCAACGCTTTTTAAATTTTAATCTCTGAAGAGGAGAGAGGATCATTGACAAATTGACAGGTAAAGCGCGAATGCGTGTCTGTCGACATCTCGATATTTTGTGTGCCTTCACGTTGTCTCGATTACGACACATGCAGGACGAAGGAATCAATCCTGCCAATTGAAAGGTTAACTGAAAGCCATTGAATCTATGTGTGGAATAAATCGGATAGAAAATATCGCAAGAAAATTATGCCAATTGCCAATTGCAATCAAAAGCGAAAAACAACGGTGTTAGACAATGTAACATTCGACAGAATGTAAGAAATACATAGATGACAAAATATAATAAGTTCCAATCATCCTTCATGACCAAAGAAAATCAAATTGTTATATATTTCTATATACAAGAATATCAAATTTTTAACTATTAATATTTAATTATCAAAATAAATTAATTAACAATAAAATAGAAATACCCAATTGACGGGTAAAACAAAAAAGTAAAGAATATTTTTTATTGATTTTATATATATATATAAATTCCACAATAATTAATTTATAATACATCAGAGGAAATTGATAATAAAAATTAAGTAAATTATAATAGTATATACAACAGTAAATTTCATGAATCTTTGAAATAAAATATATTTATGAGATTTGTATTCGTTTCTAGATGTTTAATATCGCGAAATTAGTCGAGTTGAAAATCATCATAAGTTTTTTTTACCTTCCCGTTTTTTCTCGGTCTTCTATCCATCTTCCTTTTTCCCCACTCTATTTTAATTTCCACAGAAATTTTCTAAAATATTGCCGTAATGATAATGGTATTCCGCATTGTCCAACACTGTCTAAACTATCATTAAAACTGTCTCAGTTACCATCAACTAACAATGAAAATAACACCTAATATATTTCATTGTATGTGTGTGTTTTGTATACGCACATACACACAGTGCGCACAGTTGCCAGTGGGCTAGAGCTATCTCTATGAATATTGCAGTATGTAAATCCAGGCCTCTCTTGAACTTGCTCTACTGTCAACTTCTCTTCACCCTGACCCCTTCGGTTACCATACCGTTCGCGTTTCCATCGCCCCAAGGAGACTAAACATCCGCGAAGACTGCACTGCTTGGGCGTTATTAGCGTTTAACGCTTAATAACGAAATATCGTTCCCAAGAGTTCGCGAAACTTGAGACATCATACTCTGACAGGCAAGCGGGACCCAATTTGCATATAAACTAAGAAAGCTACAGTTTAGAATTTCACATTGCAAAAAATCTTGTTATCGTTTTCAATATCGTCGGAAAAAGTCTGTAAATGTGAATATGTTTATTAAATTCTGTAATCATTTTAAAATCTATGAAATGCCTACATAAATATTCTGTAGCAATTAATAATAATAATAATAGTTGTTCTCGCCAAGATTGTAAACTTTATTATTGCTAAAATTCCATAAAGACGTGTATCACAAAATTATGAAATTATGCATTCTACGATGATAAAATTACTTATTTTGCGCCATTTTGAATTCTGGATGTGAGAGGCGATTTAAGCAGCGATTTCTTTTCGTAATCTTCAAGATAAATTCTCGTCGGAGGTGAGTTTTTATGCAAGGAGCTCGAAAATTATATAAGCTTCTGTAATGAAAGCAGTACACATAGCGTGAGTCTTGAAGATCTCGCATAGAATAGATTGCATATATTTGTACCTCTACTTTACATTTAAAATTTCAGCCACTTTAAATATAAATCCATATCTAAAATGTACGCTACATCGTTATCAAAATTCCAAAAAACATCCATCCATTGTGACGTAAAAATATCCTTTATTGCTAGAAACGAGATGCAAATTCGTGCCCGTGTTGTCTGCAAAATTAATATGAGACACTCCATCCTGGTTTTCTTCAAAGTAACACAATATCTTAATCTCTTCAAAATCTTTAGAAAATAACAAAGTCTAATTTTAAGGAGAACAACGTTAATTATTCTTAATTATTATTACATTGTTATTAATTGCTGTAGAAAAGAAATTTATATATAATTATTAATTGTTAAAATAATGTTCATAAATGTGACTTTATTATTTTTCATTTTCTTCTTTAATTAATAATATTAAAAACGCGTAGATAAGTGTTTCGCCACGATAGGACCATCGACGTGCAATCACGACGATTACGGTCACCCGAACTCTCGAAATTGCGCGTAATTATCCAAGGACCCTCTTGTAAGTTTCGCTCGAGTTATCTTCCCGTTAGCGGGAAAGTTTCTCGCTAGGAAGTCGTGCTGATACATCGTTGACATCTTCGGCAATTTCGCCGTAACCGTTAATGAACTGTCGACAGTTGGAAACTGTCAAATTTCCGGGATTTAAAATGGCTAATTGGCCATGGATTGTTAATTTCATGATAAAGTTCAACTATCGATCAATATATACGATCGTATCTCTATACAAGAGATGAGACATATGAAAGAGTATAGTTAAATATCTTTGTTATTCTTAAAAGTATAGAAATGTTAAATTTGGATATCCTTTGACTAAATATCTTTTTAGTAGTAGTAATAAATGCTAGATATTAGTTGAGAAAAGCATTTCAATCATAATTAAATATACTAGTGTGCATCAAATATCGTCCTAAAGTAAAAGAATACTTGAAAGATACGCAGAACGTTGGAAAAATTAATTATAAAATTAACATTAAAAAAGTACTAATTAAATTAAAACAAAAAGCTAATCAAAGAGTATTAAATGAAACTAAAACTAAATATCAAATAATTTTAAACAATATAGAATTAATTTGTGTATCATTTAGAGTCTACCTTACACAATATTATTAATTTAATAATCTATTTTAATCGAAAGAGAATAGGCATCGGTTCGCGATATTAATGAAAAATTTGTCATAATGACTCGTAAATGTGTCAGTAATGGAATGTGATATTCATGCATTAAACCGTAAATTCTCGATTCGCCGATCCGTCACTGAAAAGAAACCCTAAATTATACGCGTATAATCGTGAATATAAAACGAAGCGGTTCCACGAAAGCAAAGGAGAAATCGATGGAACATTTTCGTCATCGTTATAACGATCGTGGCTGTTGTTAATAATACAGTCAGATGTACTTACAGATAATACATTCATGGCCACATGTGGCATACATTGTAGCCAGTATGATTATAATTTCGATGCTGACCATGTGGCAAAGCTTCGCGATGAGAGGAACAAACATTTCCATCAAAAAAGCGCCATTACCCACGTAAATGCGCGATTTATTGCCCTATTTTTTTGTCTCTTCTGATATCCCAACGAATTAACAGACATTATTTTACATATTCCACATATTAATTACATCGAAAAAAATAATTAAAAATTAAGAGTAGAGATAAAAATAAAACTGTTCGTTTTTACGTTCGCAAATAAGCTTTTGGCAAATAGTTTAAAGAAAATTTCATAGACAAGATTATATAAAAACTGAAATGTTGTTCAGAAACTGAACAAAATTTTCAGTTGTCTCTTAAATGTTCCAATTTAATGCTTCCAATTAATTTGTTTTTTAAGAAAAGAAATTTGTTTACCTTTATAAGCCTTTAATATTTTTTTCCTTAAGTTCAAGAACAACCTCTAACAACAGGTGATATTCATCATCGTCTGTTGACTAAGGAACAATGAACGATCAAACGTGCAAAAACTTTCGCAATCAATATAAGAGTTATAGATACATAAAACTCTCCTTAAATGCAAGATTAAATTGTCTCTAATTTAAAATTAATGAAAATAATTGTCATGGAAAGTAATCGTGATAACTGGCGAACTTGAGTCATAATTATTAGACATCTGAATTTGGAATAAAAAATCAGTGGCACTTTCGTGTGCAATGCAACGATCCGACTTGACTCGAAGATGAGATACTTAAATCATCATCACGGCGACATCGACGAATTTGTCGGTGGACTTGAGAGTGAATAGATACTTAATATGATACCGCTACTTTCGGTCTGGAATGGAAGTCAGCGAGCTTCCGAACAATGAGGATCCATTCAACATCAATCTCTCTTCGACTCTCAAGAATTTGTCAGACCTCCATGGCACTCTGAACATTATCACTGAATCGAAAAATGTCACTTTAACTGTCATCAAAAGCTTCATAATGATCAGCATCATCGTCACCGCTTTGATAGGCAACGCTCTAGTAATCGCCAGCGTCAGAAGACACCGGAAACTGCGAGTGCCCACTAATCGCTACGTGGTTTCCTTAGCGATGGCGGATTTTCTCGTTGCGGTGTGTGCCATGACGTTCAATGCTTCTGTCGAGATCTCTGGTGGCAAGTGGCTGCTCGGCAGTATTATGTGCGACGTGTGGAACTCGATGGACGTTTACTTCAGTACCGCCAGCATCCTTCACCTTTGTTGTATCAGTGTCGACAGATATTACGCGATAGTCAGACCGCTGGAGTATCCAGCCATTATGAGAACTGTGACAGTCACCGCGATGCTGAGCAGCGCTTGGACACTGCCGGCCTTAATCAGCTTTATACCCATCTTCATGGGTTGGTACACCACACAACAGCACTTGGATTTCCAGCGAGAGAATCCGCAGGTAGATCAAAGTGAACGGCGACGTTATCGTACTTTAAGATTTTAATCATCTATACAAAGTTAAGAATCTCAAAACTTTTTTGGAGAATTTAATAACTTGTGACCTCGATTCAAAAATTTTGCCAATGTTATTCTCACCCCTATAACTGCGAAATTTACACAGAACAAAGTTATATTTCAATCGGCTGCAACCTCGGAGAGTAAACAAGGTATTGGAAACAAGGTATCGCGGCCTTCCTCTGCCTAAAGATTTGATTTATTAAAGTACTTTCTTCTTTTAGCTTTCTGTTTATCATTCTCTTTTGCAGATTATATCAAGAGGCAATTTCTCATTTCAATTCCTTTGTAGCTCCAGTTGCTCTCCCGCATCACATTATTAATCTTATTTATCTTTTTTCCGATTCCACTATCTGTTGACTGTACCCAATCCACATTTATTATGTTGGCTATTACATTGAAAAGATAGATAGTCTAGGAAGATTAATCTATCATAGCTGCCTAAAAAAAATTAATTAAAGTCAGATATTAGGTTGCGATGAATTTTCCGCTTGCAGAAATATTCAGCTTTTGTTGCAATATCGGAACAATACGCACGTTATGTAATTCCACGCGATATATTTTTAAAAAGAAATCACTTTTAAATAATTCATAAAAATCCTCCAACGTAATTCACGAATAATCAACAAATTATATTATTTATAATAAGAATTGTAGACCAGAATTTGTATGTGTGATCCGATGCTATTTGAATAATAAATCAAATTATTAGAATAGCAACCAAATGATGAAATAGAAGAAATAAGGATATTTTATTTCGCATAAAAAATTTAATCGATGCATAATTGCGTCATTGATATTTCGGCCACGCGATTTTGTCACGTTTGGGAGAGATACAAATAGCGATACTATGAACGATGCGATTTATATCCACTATTATATCCACATCAGCCAGTGAGCTATCGATTTTTAATCGGCGAAGCTTACCGTCGGAAAACTTGCCAGCGATAAGGCTCATTTATCACGAGCGACGCTTTTCTCAATCGCCGCAGTTACTTAGGGTGCTCTTTCCTTCGCATAGTAATTATAATTCAGAATTTAATTGATCTCTAAAGATAGGATTAAGCTAATTGCTGCATTTATCATACTTTTGATTAGCTTTCTTTTTACGATTCAATGCACTACTGCCGTATTAAATCGAGGAAATTAATTAAATATTACAATGTTGCTAATCATTTCTCAAATCTTTGATCAATATTATTATTTATACTGTTCCTCTCTCGTAGTAAAAGTATTAAAAATAAAATTTAAGTCGTTTTCAAGAATAAAATCTGATTAATATTTATCATCTCCAAAATCATATTTTTCTCAAAATGAAGCTATCGAGTAATGTTAGTCGCTACAGAAATAGTATCAATTGTATTAATTCTTTAAATCGTAATTTATATTTTGCTATCATAACACTCTTAAAAATAAATTATATATAAATGTTAATAAAAGTTAACTACGTTTAAAATATAAAAGAGTGTTATTTTAAACTTCGTAATTAAACGTATACTTAAGTTGCCTGGTATTACTTTGGAAAAAAGCAATTTGTTAATGTCGGCGTTACAGTCCATGATAAATCAGTTATAATGTTGTTATATTTTATTAAAAAAAAAAAAAAAAAAAAAAGAAAATTTGTGAGAATTTTAAAAAGAAAAAAAAAACTGATATGAAGAGCGAAGATGCAAGAAGAACATATCTTCTAAACTTTCGTTACAAATAACACATTCATACTTTTAATTCATTCACACTTTTCAAGTTGTTAATTTTGTGACATTTTAATAGCACAGTTCATGACTGTTCAATTTTATTTCAAAATAACTAGTATTGACACCACTATTAAAAGCGACAAAAAATAGCGACGATCCATTCATCCTCGATTTGTTTGATCGATTAATATCATCTGCCAAACCTTTTATAACGTTTTATCATTTTTTAACCATTTTTAAAAACCTGTTTGCCAAATCTATTTTACATGTAACTCATAAAATCAATGCGTTCTGTGTTGATTTAAACGTTAACATCTCTTAAAATTTTTATTAATAATTATTACCAATTGTTTTACTCTCTTTTACAGTATATAAATTTATACGTAAAAACTATTTAAGTAAAAACTAGTGTATGTGTAAATTATATAACTGTGATATTTTTCTCTCTAAGAAATTTTTGAGCAATATCAAGAGATTCTCAATATATACTCTTACGAAAAATTGCTTCTACGCAGCATTTGCCAAATTTTACAGTATAAAACTTTTTAGGAATTTCTTTCTTACGCTAGACGGTTTATAAATTGAAAGGAAGGGGAAAATGTTCTAATTACAATTTTACGCGTGTTTTGTGCGACTGAAAGTTTCCGGCTTCTGCGATCTTAGATTTGCACATTCGTGGCAAACCGTCCGTACGCAGTGATCAGTTCCTGCGTGTCTTTCTGGATCCCGGGTGTCGTGATGATCATCATGTACTTGAAAATCTACAAAGAAGCGATTAGACAAAGAGCGGCCCTCAGCAGAGTGTCCAGTAGCACGGTGCTCAACAGCGTACAGGTGCGTCGCTCTTCCAGCGGCTCACGGCATCATTCCAGGACATCGCATCAGCTACTGCTGCATCCAAGCGACGCGAGTGATTACGGAAGACCACTCTCTTACAGAGCCTCGGCGGCGGAGCTCAACATCGAGAACGGTGAGTGCGAGAGCGAACTAAGCGAATGAAAGCAAAGGAGGAAAAAAAATAAATAAAACAAAAAGTAAAACGAGATAAGAGAAGTAAAGTAAAATAAAGTAAAAAACAAAATAAAATAAGATAAAAGCAAAGCAGAAGATGGTGACCCACTAATAAATATAAACAATATGATGCTTGATTACTTAATGACTACATTCAGTAGCCATTAGTTGTTACACAAAGCATAGTATAATTTTGTTTAACACAATATTTGGACTCAATATGTGAATATTTATATTTAAAAAATGTAAAATAAATATAAGAACACAAAAAAATATCAAAGAAAGATAAGAGAAATTTTACAAAGTTTTCGAACGAGGGAGGAGTCAAACCTTGTGCACCGAGTGTAACGTCGCAACAAAAATGTCCCTCAATTATCGGTGAAATTGAGCAGTGCCGAATTCAATTGCGTTTTCCCCGTTCCCCTTCCAATTTGCCATCTCTCCGTCAAAAGCCTTAATGCATGTTTCAGCCGACGTGCACAAAGCGAAGATTATTACTTTCGCCCGCGGCGATTCGCCTTTTTCTCACTACGCTCGATACGTCGAAACCAACCGTGTAATCATCGATCCGAAGTGAAATTTCGTGGCAAATTTTATGGCAAATGACACGCAGCGCAAAAATGTGCAACGTAACAATCATTACGTCAGTCGTAAACTATACAAAGAACATTAATAAAATTCTCGAGAGAAGAATTGCACTCTGCAGCACATAAATTTTATTATAATAATAAAAAATTCTCATGCTAGTTTCTGGAAACAAATTACCTATCACATCTGAGCTTTTAATACAGTATTTTAATATGTATTTTTTTTCTTTTCTGCCTCTCTCTTTTGACAATTTTAATTAAAAATTATGAGCAATATTTACACCATACACTTAATTACGTTTGCTGTTTAAAAAAAATATGAAACTCTAAAACTAGAGAATCTAAAAATTTTTGAAAATTTTCAAATTATTTACAACATATGCCGAATTTGTAAAAAATAATAAGTCTATCATTTTTTAACTTATAATTGAATAACTAATTTCTAGCTTTGTTGAAAGGCAAACATGTTCCGGAGCAGAATTGTATTGTTAATTCCACGAAGAAATAATGTCCATATTGAAACGTTTCCATTTTAAAACTTTGTAATGAATAAGTTAATTGCTATACACGACCATTAAATCGAACCATTGAATACGCGTGATTGAAAACGGCGTTTTATAACTAAACTTAATTTATCAATAATAGAAGTATTAGCGAATGTATATGCATCGATCGTAAAGCGTTTAATTAACCTTTGAATAGTAAATCGCTGGAAATCTCAGTAAGCAATTGTACCTACAGCTGTCAGACTGTGAAATAAGCATATTGAAAATTGCGGTTCGTGCCAAACTGCCTGCATATACATATGTATGTATATGTTATATAATGCGACCCGGTAGAATAAAATATTTTAATTTGTAATAATATAAATGTGATATTTAGATCCTTTCGCTTGGCATTTTTTTTTATCTACAATCGTCAGTGTTCGTGGATGGAAAAATATTGACGAGGTCTGTAAGTTTTTATATAAATCGCATTATTGCTACGTGAATGTTTTTTGAAATTTATTGTCAGAGCGTCTTTATCTTGTCTCGCCAAGTTTTGCATTGCACGGATTTTGTCTCGTGAATATATCTGGCACGAAATACATAACGAGCGAACAATTGATCGAAACTGTCACTACGATATAAACGCTAAACTCCAAGCGACGTCTGCCAAATTAGAAAGCGATTGTACGCACATAAACGCGTTTAACGTCAAAGCAAATTAATAATATGTATTATTATTACATATATGCGTGCTGCATCCCCTCGCGACACTACAATGCAATTCGCATCGATACAATTCGCAACGATGTCCATGCAGCATTCTGTTCAAGATACGCCGCGATAGATTTTGCGAACATTATTTTTCTGCCGTAAAAAGAGAGAGACAACAGCTTCGCAAAGAAAAAACAAAAATTTCTGAATATTTTTCGCAGCATTTTATCTGATCGCATAGAGAAAAACGTGAAAATTCTCGTCCTCACGGATTTTTCGCAAACATACTTTGTGTTTTGTACGTTCAAAACAAAACAAGAATTGCCGTAGAATTGCTGGATAAAAATATGTTTTTTTTTGCTGAACAGAGACTTGTAGCTTTTAAGATCTAAAAATAATAATTTTTCAAATATATATTAAAAAATACACATAAAAAAATATATATATTTAGTTTTACATGTATTTGTATGTGTATTCATATATATTTCTATACTTTAGACAGCATGTTAAATTCAAAAATTTTTAATTTTAAACAAAAAATTTATTTCATAAAAGAAGCTTAAAAACTAAAAAAAGGATTATATTCCAATATTGCTAAAAAAATAAATGTCAAAATTATATTTTTTTATAAAAATGTACGGTATATAGAGTGATTCAAAATAACCTGATGTCCTTGCAATGCCATATTTTTGAGCGAATTCTGAGACGACTTTTCCTTTTACAAAATTTTGTCCGAAGCTTAGTTTTCGAGTTATAATTGAAAATACATAGCAACTTACGAGTTCGGTACAACGGGCAGGCAGGGACGCGCAACGTAT